ATAACAGGAAAGAAGAGCTTCCAGTGGTGAATATTAATTGGGTTTGTTCATCTCTTTAGAGATGTTGAGAAAAATAAGACATGCACAGAACGAAGAGATCCAGTCTGCAGGATACCCAGGGCTGCCTCTTCTGCTGCCCACAGAGTAAGGAACACACAGCGACAGGGGCATACAGCCACTCCCTGCCCATTGGTAACTTTGTCTAAGAGAAGTTTCCAAGACCTATTACTTCACTTTCTAGTGGGACAGTAATTATGCCATTAGCAAGTAAAGTGCAGGTGCTATGATAGTGAGGTGATGTGTGCTCCTACCCCAGAAATGTAGGTGCATTTAGGAAGTGGTTTTGCTTATTGGTTTAGCGGTGCAAGGAGGAAGTGGACTCAGTGGTGATTGAGCCCAACTAGGTGACTTTCTCACTGCCTTGCTCTAAGCGCTGAGACTTTGAGCAAAGTTTATGAGCTTTAGGTTCTGCATCTGAAAACTAAACTTGTCATTTCTCTGAACTCCTCTACTCCCCACAGCGGCATTAAATATATATATAAAATATATATATATATGCATATATATATATATATATATGCTGGAGCGATAGCACAGCGGTAGGACGCAGCCAACATGACCAACCCAAGTTCGATTCTTCCGCCCCTCTCAGAGAGCCCGGCAAGCTACCGAGAGTATCTCGCCTGCACAGCAGAGCCTGGCAAGCTCCCCGTGACGTATTTGATATGCCAGACACAGTAACAACAAAGTCTCCGATGGAGACGTTACTGGGCCTGCTCGAGCAATATATATATATATATATATATAGCACAGCGGTAGGGCATTTGCCTTGCACGCAGCTAACATGGCCGACCCGAGTTCGATTCCTCCACCCCTCTCGGAGAGCACAGCAAGTTACCGAGAGTATCTCGCCCGCACGGCAGAGCCTGGCAAACTCCCCGTGACATATTCGATATGCCAAACACAGTAACAACAAAGTCTCCAATGGAGATGTTACTGGGCCCACTCGAGCAAATCGATGATCAACGGGAGGGCCTTATATATACTTTTTGGGTCACACCCAGCAATGCTCAGGGGTTACTTCCTGGCTCTGCACTCAGGAATTACTCCTGGTGGTACTTGGGGGACCATATGGGATGCCGGGGATCCGAACCCAGGTCGGCTGCGTGCAAGGCAAATACCCTACCCACTGTACTATTGCTCCGGTCCCTAGCATCTCATTTTCTTTAAGCCACCATCCCTCTGTTCCACACAGGCAGTGTGTGCAGCCATTTTTGAAACGTGAGGTTTGTAAAGGTAGTTTTAGTCACTGTGATTTGGAATACTGTTAATGATAGGGTTCCATGCATATAGTGTTCCAACCCCATACTCTCCACCATAGTGTCTGCTTCCCCTCCACCATTGTCTCAGGGAGTCCCCCAGGACCCCCTGCTGCTCCGTCTCCTCACACCATAGTCTTTTTAATTAAACTCTTTCAGCCCTTTCCTTTCCTGTCTCCTGCCCCAAACCTGCCTCTTCCCCAGCACTACTACATGTTAATTTTGCAGTGCTGTTGATATACACATGGCCAAATTCTAGAAGAGAACCCATCCATAGAGATTTTCAAGCCAAACATTTAATTTGGACCAGAGGGTAGCACAATTAGTGGACCAAGGGTAAGGCCATGGCCCTGCATGCATGGAGCTGGCTATATATTCAGAGCTCAGTGAAATAAATCTGCCTTAATCCCACCCCATCCTTCTTGACTTTCATCTTGATTTTTGTTCATGACTCAAGTTGTTTCTCCATCCCACTCTGCACCCTTGGTTACATGGTGTTCTTTTTTCTTCTTTCTGAAATAATATATAGTGTGGAGTGTCCGCACTTCCAGAGGCTCTGAACTGTGGGTGGCCAGCCACAGCCATAGAGGGAACTGGCAGGAGTGATGGTGCCATGCCTGCAGAGACTCCAAAAGGAAGCACTGCCCTTGACAAATGGAGGGAGGCACGCTGAGAGGAGGTGGTGTCCCTGCAATTCTGGATTGTATTTTCTTGGTTCAAGAGGGAACATATGAAGATAGGATTTGGGAAAAAGTGGTAATTTCTCCTGATATCACCAGTACATGGGGGAACAAGTCTTCACTGCATCCACCTAGTCCTCCAGGACCTGACAAACTCCTTTCCCCTTCAACTCTATTTAAAGCATAAGAATGACTTAGATTTCATGTGCTCATTATTTTTCTTTTCTTGGGAACATGGTTTAACTGTTTGCCAACTTTTGCCACAAAATTCTTTGATTTCCCCTGTGACCAGAACTTGGAGAAAATTTACTCATCCAGTTTTCCGTTCTTCCAGACCTCTTGATTATCTGAGCCTTTGGTGAAATGCATTTAGTAGGACACATTTAGGCAGGAAGTAATAATGCAAGGAAAAGTAGTTCAATTTTAAATATATATATACATATATATACCTACTATATATATTTATACTTATTAAATCATTTTTTTATTATTATTATTATTATTTTTTTTTTGTGTGTGTGTGTGTGTGTGTGAGGGCTTAGGCACTCCTGACAGTGATCTGGGCACCATGTGATATTGGGGAACAAACCCAAGATTCTCACATGCAAAGCATAAAGCATAAAGCCTATGCTCTAGTTTTTTGAGCCCTGTCCCATGTCTCATCTTGAAAGTTAATATTTTTGTATTTATTATTGACTGATATGTCTGGAGAAGCAGAACAGAAGACCATCAACAGCACAGTTCACAGTACTGGATTCTGGTCCCACCTCAAGTGTGACTATCATCCCTGGGCAAGAGTTCTGCTCTTTTGAGTGGTGGGATGAGATGGGATACATGAGCCCCAGGCGGTTTTATACCTTCAGAGAGAATATATTGAGGAGGGCCAAGTCCAATGTGTGCTCTATCCATGTGTAAGTCTCCTAGGGATCCCTGGCTAAGTAGCTTATTATTGCCTCTTATAAGTGGAGTTAATGAATCCATTGGGCTTATTCTTACTTGGGATTTCATATGCAGCAGAATCATCACCCCCACCCCATGCATCTTTTTCTATCTGGTTAACTAGATCTTCCTGATAGCTTGGTGGTCTAACCCAAATTTTTTAACCAGAGGCCATCAGGATATTCTAGTGGCACCAAAAGTCACTGTTGTTAGTGGGAACCCACAACATGAAAGTAGGGGCCAACTTATAGGAAAAAAGGGAGCCCACAGAGAGAAAATAAGGTTAGAAATGGGCCATGATAAAAAAAAAGGTTGAGAAACATGGTATATTCATTCATACTTCTGTCCCAAGATGCTGCTTCTCCTAGAGTAAGCTAATGATGCTGCTTCTCCCAGAGTAAGCTTTCCAAGCACACATCACAGGGTATGAAATTTCTTGACAGCTACTTGAATCATATAGTTTCACTTTGCTCTGTTCTATTTATTCTCCAGGGAGACTTGGATTCACATAAAAGGGAGGTAGAAAAGGGTCTATTTGGGGAGGTGACTCCTTTGCAGGGGGAGGTGCATTTGCAAGACTGGCTACCAATTGTAACCCGGTTATATGTAGGATCTTTCCTCATCCTTTATGTTCCATGAACTGCCCAAGTGATTCTTCTTTCCTCCACAACTCTGCATATCTGGGAATGGCTTTCTTCCTAAATTCCTGGGAATTGTAATTCACAGTACAATGACGTCTCTTGCTGTAATTGCCAAAACCAGTTGCCATGAATACATTTCAGTAGAGTCACATTTTATCTTCACACCTTTAGCCTAGGAGAGCTTTTTGGTTTTGTGTTGTTATGGATGATGTTTTAGAAAAGGTATCTGTTGTTGAGGAACTATTGTATCTAGTGTTGAGGAACTATGAGATTGAACCAAGAACAGTGGATTTGGAGATGAAAGAGGTACAATATATCAAGTCAGAGTGTGACGCTGGGACATCCTCATTGTAAGCTGAGTTGATCCTAGAAGGTGTGGGGTACTCAAGAACCTATTTCTGCTGTTGTATTCACAAATCCCTGCCAGCTGTCAGCTTCTTTGGTTCAGGTTTTAAGGAAGACAGCTGTTCAGATACTTCATATTCTTCTCTTCATTCATTCAACAAATATACACTGCCCAGCTGTTCTGGGCCAGGAAATACATTAGACACTTTGCAAGATAGGAAGATGAATCAGAGCAGAAACTGGCAGAACACAACACCTCCTTCCCACTACGTGCCCCCCCCCGCCCCTAAAATGTCCAGGGTGTGGTAGAGTAGAGCAGTGGGGAGAGACGGTGGTCCTGTAGTCATGACAAAGAATCACAGCTCTGCAGGCTCCATGCTCTGTCTACTGGCATATGAGGCTGACACCTTCTGTCACAAGCATCTTCACTTGCCCCGCTGCCTTGAGTCTAGCATCCCTCCAAGCCTCCAGAACAGAGCTTCCCCTGGAGCGAGCCTTACTTTGCATTTCAGATGGAGCCTGGGTTCTATCAGGATCTGGCTCTCAGACTTTCTTCTCCCAGATCAGTTGTTAGAGCGCATGCATTTTAGTTGTATATAATTAGAAGGTGGATAAATGACTGCTTTGGTCTTTGTTATCCAAGTGCTCCATGCACCTCTGATGAATTACACCCTAAATACATGACAGGTTTTCTCATTTTCACTCAATAGTGATTATTTATTTATGTGCATCTCTCTCTCTTTCCAAGTATATAGACTATTAAGATTTTTCCTTTTTTTTTATTTTTTGGGGCCACACCCGGTGGTATTCAGGGCTTACTTCTGGCTCTGTACTTGGGAATCATAGAGATTGGGGGGTGCAGGTGGGGACTGGGCATACTTGGGATCCATCCTGGGTCATCTGTATGTAAGGCAAGCCCCATACCCACTGTACTATTTCACTAGTCCCCTTTGGACTACTAACTTCCAAGAGCAAAGTTTGATATATACCACTTGATCTTCCCAGTGTCTAGAATTGCACCAGTGTATTGATGTTTGTTCCCCTGAGGTCACTAATGATCCTTTCCCTTGTTGCAGAATTTGCTGTCTTTTCTGCGTTGTGGCCCTGTGACGCTCTTGCTGTTATTGTTGACCGTCAATCAGATGGGTGGAGTGTGTTACAGAAATTGGCAGCAAGTGTCCAATGGGTGAGAAGGTAAGATGGGCTGGCCTCATTGAATGATGTCCTATCATATAGAATTGAAAATTACACCTCCAAGGTCCCTCCTCCAAACCTTCCTCACACCTGCCTTGACTTCTTTGACACTTCACCCCATTTAAGAAAAGCTGAGGGGCAGTAAGGCTTGAACTCTGGGGCTTCAAGGGAAATGTATATTCCCTTCAATTATTGGGTTTTCTTTATTGAATATCTCGAATGTTCTAATAATGGGATGGTTGGTCTTGTTTTATTATTTTTTTGAAGTATAAAAGCTTCGTTGGGGAAAAAAGGAGCCAAAGGGAAAGAAACTTATTTACAAAGGACTCAGGACACTGCTGACCAGATTGCCTAAGTTTACTACTAGGTTGTCTGCCCCCTACTCTCTTCCTTTGGAAAGAATTTTCTAGACAGGAAGAGGTAGCATATGCCCCATAAAGAAAGGAGATGGCTGGAAGGCTGGATCGTTCAGATCTCAATAGTCTGGGCACTAGATTCTAAGCAGGAAGCTTAGTTCAACGCCCTGAAGTACTCGGGCCATTTACTGTGCCTGCAGGTCTCTGACCTATTTACCATTGGTTGGAGGTAGGGTCTCTCACTGCTCCTGATCTTTAGAAGGCTGTGAATTTGTTTACTTCTCCATCTGCGTGGTGGTAACAAGGAGCTCCTTTCAATGACATTCAGATATCTAGAGAAAGATTTGAGGTCTCCAACTGAAGAAATTTAAAATGATTTCAAAATATAGGAATAGAAACGTACGAAACTATACAAGTATAGCAATAATTCTGCCAGTGTGTCTTTGCACACATAAGGTTTCTAGGCTTCTCTATCTGAGTGTCTCTCACTCATTCCTGCCTGAATATCTAGCAGGTGCATTACTTAAGAGGCCAAATAATGGTACTGATTTAAATGTCTTACGGTTTACTTTGTTCCGCTTGCTACATTTCTGTCGTAACACTAAAATTCATCCAGAGAAGAAACATGGAATGGAGACTAATCCTTTACCTCCAAATAAAAGTTATTTCTCTTGAGACCTATGAATTCTTCCCTGGTTATCACTGCAATAATTTATGTTTTTCTTTCCTTTCTGCCACTTCTGAAATGCAAACCCCTCCTCTCCCTGAATACTGCTATGACCACCAAGCTGATCGTTTTGTATTTAGAGCTACTTCTTGTTTATAATGGCAGCACAATTCATCTTCCATAGATATCCTGAACAGATGTCTTTCTGTCCAGATGTTACATTTCTCCCCCATGCCGTGTAGCAAACATCTTGCACCGTGTTCATGTGCTACCACTCTTATGCTGTGTGACCAGAACACTTCTCCCTGTTTTCCCTTATCAGACACATCATGCTCATATCTACTGCATGGCATCACTCACATTTTCTTCACTCCCTACCCCCAGTATCCCTCTCCCCTTAGAAGCATGCACCCATTTTATATCTTTGTTTAGACCTCACCCTCTCTCTGGAGGTGTCTGATTCCCTATGCATGTCTCATAGCGTCAGAACTCTAACAGAGATTATGAACACACTGAGTTTTCCACATTGGGTGATAATTTTCTGTTTGGTTGTCCTCCCAGCCAGACCTGGAGGTTCTTGAGATTACAGTGGACTTATTTGGCCACCACACTTCCTGTTGCCAGCACTGTATTTAAGCCAAAGTGTGGCTCTCAAGAAGTGATTCTTAAACATTAAGAACATAGCTCTTAAATAGATATTGAATAGATTAAGAAGTGGGGGAGGCTGGGTGGTGCTAATGTTACTACACAGAGAAAAGTCTGACTAATGACAGCTAACAGATGTGAGTGCTTGCTCTGTGTCTGCACTTAAGGTCTTTAAAGCTATTATCACCTTTCTCATTTCTTGCAATAAAGCCCGAGGTGGCCACTACTATTAGCCTCCAGGATTTTCTGAAGGAGAAAACTCAGGCTTAGAGGCAATGGAGGATCTGTTTATAACCTTAGTATTATCAGTTTTAGCCTTGGAAATGTCTCCCGTTGAGAATTTTGATTTTAACATGAGCTTCTCTGTCTTCTCTTGAACAAATCTGCTACATCGTGAACAAAATGCCTTTTCCTCTATGTAAGGCCAGAAGCTTTGTCTGCAGTTCACACCATAATATTCTATCAGTGATCATCTCACAGGTCAGACAACTGTCAATCTTTGGTGGTCTTCCAATGACTTCCAACTATTTTAACTCCTATTTAAATGTAGGTCTATTTGGGGACACTATTTCAATTGTGGACTCCTCCTGACTGCTGTCCATGCTCTGGTCAATGTTAGTTCGGGGAATAAACCAGGGAATGAACATACATTGAGTGGGAGTCAGGGGTACACTTCCCAGCAAATGCACCCATGAGATTGGAAATAGTCTGACCGACTTCTTTGCTCACACATTTGCACTCATTTTCTCTGAAACTGGCTAAGCAGACAGAATTCATTCCTCCTTTGGCAATGTCTGTGAATGATGAGCCTCTCATTTCTGCCCATCCGAATGGGTCTCTTCATTTCCTCGGCCCTTTGAGTTTCTCAATAGGAAAGGCAATGGACATTTCCTATTTTCCTAGATAATAGGGACAATTAGAGTGAGGTATCAATGAAAGAGAGTCAGAAGTTAAATAGAAAGTACTTGAATTTAATTTCCCTTCTTGGAAATCGGCTAGATTTTTTTCCTCCCACTTAGAAATTAAGAACCGCTTATTTTCAAGAGTTCTGCGTAGCTTTTATACCATACAGAGGAGAGGAGGTAAACTATTCTAATGTTTGAAGCACCCTTAAAAAAACACCACAGCATGGTACTGATGGAAAAGCCTTTGATCTTGCAAGATAAGATTCATGTTGTACAGAGAGGAATTTGGTGCCTCCAGGGAGGAAAGGATGTGCTCATGAGCTGACTACAAGGTTTTGAAAGAATATAGCAAAACTAACCAACAACTTTGGCTCCAGACTCCAATTCTTAATCCTCATTCAGTTCAGGCTGCATTTCTTAACAGGTGCCTCTGACAGGACCTAGTACACTGGCAGAGATAAAAGGACACTGCCCCTTTCCTCAAGGATTATACAGACAAGGAGTTCTGTATAAACCATTCAGAAACATTCAGAGTGGGAAGAAAAAGAAGATCTGGGGTAGGTAGAGAGAAAGACTTTTAGCAAAGGGCGGTGAAGTGTTTAGAGCTCACAGAATTTCTTGTGGACTAGAGGGAAATGCACTTGAACTGCCTTGCTACACAGCTGTTTTACTTAGGTACTTCCTCAGAGCAGGGCAGGAATTATGGGACAGCAATGGGGTATGGCATCTCAGCCTCCTTGCTGAGCTGCTGGCAGAAAGCTGGAGCACATATCTTTCTTAAAGTGAAAGGATTTGCCCCCCCCTCAATGCTGATGAGCAGCGGGCACACATTGAGATTCTCCTGCATGGTGATCGGCAGGCGCTGCTGGTCACAGGTCAAGCAATTATCTTTCATTTCCATAAAAATCAATCCCCCAGCACTGCTGGGGACAATTCACCTGCGCTGGAGGATCTACTGGGCTCTGCATCGCCCCTGACAGTTTGAAACGTTGGCAGCTAGCCTCCGGCCCCCCAGTGCCTGCTGGGTCTGTCTGTGAATGCACATTTCCTATTTCGGGATGTAGGCCACTGTGGAGAAAGAGGCCAAGTATCTGTCTGTAACTGGTGTCACTAGAATCATAAACAGACACTCAGTTCACTTGCTGACTACTTTGCAGATCTCCATTGTGTACAATAAGGCTGTCACTGCCAAGATCAACTAAAAATTACAGTGCCTGCAGGTACCAGGCAGTGTGATGGACTGGCCTTGCCCACAGCCATACTAATAGGAAAGTCTTCAACCTAGTCTTGGTGATCTTGTTTAATTTAACTCAGGATGAGTGATGAAAAAGCAGAGCCTGCTCCTGATCATGGCATGAAGAGGTGGCATTCATTTATCATGCCCATGGGTCCAACACTGGGCTCCATCCTTTGCATACCTTGTCTTGCTTGACATCAAAATTTTGAGTGGCGTGAGCATTTATCATGATTCTTTTATAGAAGGAGTTGCCAAAATTCAGTGAGGTTGATAAACTTGCCAAGTTCATTATTATTATACATTGTTATTATACATTATAATTAGACATGATTTATCATAGACGCATGATTTATTATACACGATTTCTCATGGGTAGAGTCAGAGTCTTCACTCCAGTTTCATTCTGTCTTGCCTTCCAGTCTTTTCCAAGGTAGAGGGCATTACATTCCCGTTCATTTAGCATGGTCTTGCGCTTAATCTTCACTAGAGACAGCTATAAAAAGAACCTAGCTGTTTGTGGCTAATGTAGGTTGATGTGGGTGCTAACTGAGAGGTAACACCTGTGGAGAAGAAAAAGAGAAAATACAGAATCTACTGATCAACCATCTCTTGAGAACTGCTCCCATTTAAGGCCTTGAATTCAGTCACTGTCACTGTCACTGTCCTCCCGTTGTTCATCGATTTTCTCGAGCGGGCCCAGTAATGTCTCCATTGTGAGACTTTGTTGTTATTGTGTTTGGCATATTGAATACATCACAGGTAGCTTGCCAGGCTTTGCCAGATGGGCGAGATACTCTTGGTAGCTTGCCAGGTTCTCCTAGAGGGGTGGAGAATCGAACTCGGGTCGGCCTTGTTGGCTGCGTGCAAGGCAAATGCCCTACCCATTGTGCTATCATTGGTGTTGGAGGCATTTGTTGGGTGGAATAATGAAACCACAGTCATGGCTTTGGGACAGCACCTTCTAATGGCAGTCAGAATGCCAGGCAAGCAGTCATGACAAGCCTTCTTCTCAACTGCTCCTGGAGTCTAATTTTGTTAGAGGGACTGATTTTTGTTATAATAAAATAGATTTTGTTAGAAGAAACTGGAGTGTGGGGGTTCTGTGAGGGTGCTTCAGTGATAAGGGAATCTTTGGGTTGAGACTTGAAATCTGAGTCAGAATCTACCAGGAAATTTGGAGATTTTCTATG